AAGCTCTTTTAGAGCGCTTTATTTTAAATAATAATATAAATAATCTAAACTTAATCCCTTTAATCTTATACTAAATATTATTTTAATAAATTACTATTTCCCTTATTAAGGCCTAATAATATACCCTTATATAAAGTATATTATTAAATATTAATAAGATTATTATAAAGTTATTAATAAGTTACTAGGGCTTTATTATAGAACCCGTTAGGGCCCTTTTTAAAGCGTGCTTTACTTATAACTATTATCTAAGTCTTTTTAAATAAGCTAAGGTTATAATAATATTAAAAAAAAAATTATAAGCTCTTAAACCCTAGCTTATATAGGCTAATTTTATTATTATCTTATTTAAAAAAGGGGCTTAAGTATATTTTTATAAAGCGGGCTACCCCCCCGACGGAGTAATCCGCCGGGGCCGTACTATATATTACGTATTAAGGAAAACTAAGTATATTACGCTCTATACCTAATTACTAATTAAAACTCCTAACCTTCCGCTACCCGCCTATAGGGCGAGCTTTACCTATTTTAACGTATATAGAACCTCCTAATACTAGCCCGCGTAAGTAGCTAAGTTTAGTATAATCTATTTTTTTATATAAATATTATCGTTACCTAGGGGGTCCTATAAGAGCTATTTAAAGCGCTAGCTTATTACTCTAACCCTATATACCTCTAGCCCGTCTATCGTAACTATTATAACTAAACTAATATTAATATACTAGATCTTAGTATCCGTACTAGCCCGGCTATTTATAGCGCTTATAATATTACTTAGCCGAATTCCGTACTATTAGAAAGTACTTTACTACTTCTTAGGCATACTTACGTTAGCTATAATAGCTATAGTATCGAGCTAGCCGAGGGCGCCTAGCCCAAGAGGGGTAGACTTATCGACGGGCATCTTTAGCTTACTAATTACTAACTATATACTAGGAGTAGAGTAGGTTCTTATTAAAGTAGTATTTTAATTAGCTAACCTCTTAACTAGTTATTTAACTAGCTATCTAAGTAATAATTTATATATTAATAGGTTTATTTAGTAGATTTGTTTAGTAAATTTATTTAGTAGATTTATTTAGTAAATTTATTTAGTTTAAATAGAGAGTAGCTTTAGGCAATATTAGAAGCGATAAGGATAAAAAGAATCTTTATAAGCTCTAAAGAGTAGTAAATTTTAGCCTATTTAGCCCTTTTTTTAAAAACCTCTACGTCGCTATTAAAGTTTAGAACTTTTATAGTTAAAAAAGGCCGCCTCTAACTATTATAGCCGACTATAGCGGCCGATTATTATAGCTAACTATTACGGCCGACCTCTATTATTAACCTTTTTAACTAGTACTATTATTAAAGAGGGTAGCTTACTTATCCCGAATTAAATAGCAGTTTTTATATTAAAATTATTATATTACGTTAAGCGCGTACTTAGGATATATTGTGCGTATTATATAGTTAAAAAGTATATTATATTATATAATTTCCCTTAAAAGCGTAATCCTATTAAGGTCGATCTTTTATACCTATAAAGCCGGAAAAAAAAACCACTACATAAAGCGGGCTACGTATTATATAATATAAAACTTAGTTATTAATAAATAATAATTTAGGGCTCTATTTAAGTAAAGCGCCGTTAACTTAGTTATATATATTATATATAATATAGAGGAGATATTTAAAAACGGCCTTATAATAACCCTAATTATAGTAAATACTAAAAGAGCGTTTAATATTATATTTTAAAATAGACTTATATTTAAGCTTTACTAATAAGGCTAGTTAAAAACCTTTATTAAGTTTATAAAGTCCTTTATAATATAATAAACTACTATTATTAAAATAAATAAGAAATTTTTAAAAAAGTTTCTTTTTTATTATAACTTTTTATAAAACTCCCCCGCGTCTCTTATTTTATATATTCTCTATTTAATTAAAATATTATTAAATAATCCTAACTATTACTTTAGTTATATAAATAATATAAGCTTTATAATAATCTCTTTAACTTTAAAAAAACGCGCTAATATTAAAAAGTAAAGTTAGCTTTATATTTAAATAGGGTACTAAAAATAAAATTATTTTTAACTTAGTTAAGTATAAAATAATATATTTTATATATAAATATTATAAAAATCGGCCGTTAGAATAGCTAGTTATTTATATTACTAAGCTTATAATTATATTAATAACCCCTATTAAAGCTATACGCTAGTTTAGAGTCTAGTTTAATAAGACCCTCTCTTTTTATATTTATATTAAGTACTAAATTATTATTATAAAGCGGGTAATTAACTTCTTTTATGAGCTTAGTAAAGTTATTAAAAGCCTACTCCTTAAATAGGCTTAGTTTATAATAATAGTTTATATATTATTATTAATTATACATAGTTCCGAAATATAGTTTTTAAATTATACTAAGCTAGCTACCCTTTTAAAAAAGATATAAGTAGGGACTACCCCTCGCGCACCCTTTATAAATACTAATTAAAAAAAATACTTCGTTACTATTTAAAAAGTCCTTATTTTTATTACTTAAATAATAACCTTAGCTTAGTATAATATATTAATAGACTTGTTATTTAGAGAGTTAAGTCTTTTAATTATTATAATTACTTTAAAAAGGGCGAGATTATACTCTATTATAAAGCTTGGCTATATAAATACGCTCTATTTACTAATATTATAATTAAAAAAAAGAACCCCTCGAGGTATTAAGAAAAAAACCCGTTTATAATAAATATATACGCTCCTACTCCCGTACTTATAACTAATCCTCGTCTTTTTAAACTTACTTATATTACGTAAAAATATTAAAAATATTATTATAGCCTCTTTTAAATAAATAATTATAAAGCTTCTACCCTCTGATTTTATAATTTATTTTAATAAGTTAATATTTAATAAAAAATTAGTAAGTTATAAGTATATAATATACCGTAGTACTATTATTATTATAAAAAGCTTTAGCTAATTTAAAAAGCTTATTAAGGTTTTTAATACTAAGGTAAAAAGTACTTAATAAGGCTTATAATAAGCTTTACTTATTACTACCTCTATTCTTATCTCTATTTATATTTATTTTAATAATACCTCTATTCTTAACTTTATTTTAAATTATAATAACTCTCTAATTAACTTATAAACGGCTATATTAAAATTCGTTAATACTTAATAAACGAGGGATATAAAATATTATTAATCCCCTAGATATACCGGGATTTTTAAAAACGAGTTAGTAAATAAGCTTATTAAATAAAGCGCGGCCCGTAAATTACTTAATTTATTATTATTAGCCTCTTATATTAGTTTAATAAAAGCTACTTAAGTACGAGCCCGTAAATAATACTAAAAATAATAAAAAAAGTCTAAATAAATACTTAAACCTAAGTATATTAAAACTACTATAGCCCTTAAATACTTCTTAAAATTAAACTTATTATACCCTCTCTTATACTACTTCTTTATTACGTAATTTAACTATAACTATTTCTACTCTTATTATAAATAGTTTAATTATAAGGGTAATTTTAAATATAACTATAAAAAAAGCTATTATTAACTTATATAATATACTATTTAAAGAATTACTAAACCTAGGCTTAATAACCGGTTATTAATATTAAGAAAAATCTAGGTCTCTTACCCCCTTTAATAAATTAAACTAAAGCTTATTAATATACTTTAATATAAGATCTAGTAGTATTTAAAAAGTTTAAATAAGTAACGTATTATTATAAAACTTACTCTTTTTAAAAATAATAAACCCGAGGTAACTTATTTTTATATTCTATTATATACTTATTAATAATTTTTAAACTATAGCTCTATTTTACTTCTTTTTTTATACTTAGATTTCTTAAATAATTTAGAATAATATAAAAAAATATAAAAATACTTTTATAAATAATTTTATTTACGAGAGAGGTTTTTAATAATAGCTAAGTACTATTTATAAATAGTATAGGGCTATTATAAAACCGCTACTTTTACTAAGTATAAGGACCCTTATTAATATACTTTTTAAAACTAAAAGGGCTAGATTAGTAATAGCCCGGCCTAGGTATAAAAAAGAAAGTATATATTAATAAATTATCTAACTTATTATATACTTATTAGGGGTAGTATAGTATATTATATGCCTTAAAAAGGCGCTTTAGTTAATCGGAGGTTATACTCCTATCCCTGATAATATTAAATACTACTACTACTACTACTACTACTACTACTAGAGGCGGATGAACTACTAACGGACAAAAGTTTTGTTCCCTCCCGGCGGCTATTCCTGGCCCGCACAAACTCCCCAACGGTTCATCCCTAATATTCGCCCCAAAACGGCCGATTCCTCAATTTCCACACGTGACCTATCGAAACGATTGACTGACTTGGTCCAAAAACCTCTCCATGAAAGGTTATGATGAAGACGAAAGAATTGTATCAAATCAAATCCCTCATAACAATTCACAAGGAGTTTTAAGATCCTACATGTTTCCGTACGAACCGGTTCAATGACTCAGGTCAGTCCTGATCATGAGGGACAAACTACTTTGGATGTTGGCCGCCATTTTGTCATCTACCGTTGAAATTCACTCCATCTTGCAGAGCTTTAGCATTTTGAAAGGCGCTTCCCATATGGCTGAATCTAACGGGCCGCTGGTCTCCTCAAAGTTTGTGTTGTACACCCACTGCACCTCTGATGATAGCAATATGGGCAATAGGTATCAATATTACAATTGAGAGGCCCAGTCGAACAGTTGTGCTTGTCACTTGTGTTAGTCGACAATTCCGAATCCAAATTGGACTTTCGGAAACTCTTGCTTACACAGTACCAGATTGGAATCTTAGTTGCTACGCTTTTACCGCTTGTCCTCGACGGAATCGTAGATGAACTGCCAGAAACCGTCACACGACTGTTTCTGTGGTCTCTCGATGTGTTTTCATTGGGGCTGTTCTTGGCCACAGATCCTGGCACTGGTACTGGCAATTGCTGTTTGCTGTCTGGTGAATCATTTTTCGTTTGTAGCAGATGGGGTATATTCCGGATCGTTCCCTAATACGTTTTCTGTTGTGACACCAAATACGGTGTTCTGCATGGTACCTAATTCATAAAGCGAATGAATTAATACCGTTATTAAGTTTTTGGTGAATTTAGCTTACCTTGATTCTCCGCGGAATGTCCGAATGCGTCAGCCCTGGACTGTCTATGGGCTTGAGACTGTGCCAGTGGGTCCTGTGGCCTGTCTTTCGAGGGCAGAAGAAGATCAGGAAATGATTCAGCGATACTCTGTAGTAGATCCTGTGCCGTTATGAACATCGCCATGGGCTGATTCGGGTAGAAAGCAACGACCATCCCCGCAAATGCTGACCCTTTGACTAGCCATGTACCTGATGTGCCGCGTGCTGCGATAAGGCCAAGTCAATATTGGTGATCGTATGTATTTTTTTATTTTTCTTTTGGATGACTAGTACCTAAAGGCGCCGAGAGCTGAATTCTTCTGACTTCCAGGGGATCACCTTGCGCAGATGGCATTGTTGAAATGCCAGGGAGCAGCGTGACCTCTTTCACTTCGTCCCTGGCAAAGACCATGAGCAGAGAGCCCTCCGTAAGCTCATCATTCTTCAGGCTTGATGTGATCTCGTCTGATGGAAGCTCTGGGGCAAGGTTGCGCCACGAAGTTGCGTTGCGGAATCCCGCCAGATCTGCCGAAGTCAGGAGAGCATAATCGCTCGGCTTAGAGCTGTCCAACACGCCGCGAGGGAATTGGTGCTTGGCGAATTTGAGTCCGATGACTTCTTCAATTGCCATCCATTTGTAAACCGTTGCAGGGTCTCTTCTCCCTAGACTTTGTTCTTCTCTCCAGGCTAACTGAGTAGATTGTGCATCCCCACTGTCTGAGCCTGGGCCGCTGACATCAGAACTAGAGTCGGAATCTGGTTCCGAGTCAGAAATCGTAATAGGATCATATTCATTTCCTGGCAGGTTAGGTTTGAATGATGATATCGTGATATCCATCAACGCGCTAGCGGCGCCGTCATTCTGCCGAATATAATCGAACAAACCGTGTGACGTCGTCATCGCTATTGGTACGTCAATATTGTCGAATAACTCGAAGCCATTGACCAATAAGCCGCCAACTCTTGAGATTATTTGTCCGATCAACCTGTTGTCTCTGAGAATTGTGGAACAGCACAGCAATCCGCAGACTGACATAGACTTGTTAGGCCGCCGGTCTGCCTCCACATGATGGATCATGATTGTATCTTCATATCTCAGCCCCAAACCTTTCTCGATATCGCGCCGTAGCTGAGGAAGAGGAACCAGAGCCTCAGTAGCGTTGAACTCAGGAGCTTTCGCGTGGATCTCCACGCGTGAGCTTGAGAGGTTTCTTGCTATTGATCCCGCCAGACCTCCTTTTAGCGCTTTCCGTACCATATCTCGAAACTCCTTGCTTCCACATAGGATCCAGATGCAGGGAGAAATGACGACTGTTTTTCTGAGGCGTTTTTGATGCCCCGACATCCGAATTTCCACGTGCAAATTCCTTCGCGAAGGTCGTTGTTTGTGATAACTGGTTTCTTTGGCTTGTTTTTTCATCATCTCAGTTTGAACCTCTTTCAGATTGATCAATGTCTCATCTCTGATTTCCGCCAACCTTGATTGAAGATGGGACGGCACGGGTATCTCAGTTTCATAAGCTACCCATGTTCGCTCATCCCAGTGCCAGCTCTCCTCCCACAGCCATAGCTTAGAGGAGGGGATGGTAATCAGATGCTCGTCGGTTGAAAGACTGTCCATTTTGAAGCTCTCCAGGCTATGGATACGTGAGTGGTCATCATTTGTTGGTAGGATTACATCCGAGACAACAGGAACGGGTCCCTGAGTCGAACCTGAGAGGTGCGAACCCTCGATCGAAGTGGCGCGCGCCGGTATGTTCTGGTCTAGATGATCCAATGCATTATTGAACCCCTCAGGTGTCTCTGTATGTACTGTCGTTCTGTTCCAGGAAGATGCTGTGGTGAGATGTCGAGAAGGATCAGCGTTCTTATTCCTGCTCGACGTAGAACCGCGTTTCTTTTGGTTAATACGATGCGCTTCTCTATGAGAAAGCCCGGAATTCTGGTCTCGTCGAGCAATCTTATCCATGTCATCCATGTCCTTGATGACGCAGGTTAATGTCGTCGAAAGGAGCTTATTGCCTCGCAAAATGGCAATGGATGATAGTGAGAGAGCCAGGGAAATGTATATAGATGTGTGTGTGTGGTAGGGGAGAGGGGGGGGGGGGGGTTTGATGTGAGATAGAACAGATTGAAATCTTGCTACCTGTCTGAAGACATTTCATTAGAGCCAAGAGAAGCGCGGGAGGGCCTTTACCTTACGCTCTTGGTGCGCCCGCAAGGCAGATATCTGCCTAACATGCAGCGTTGGGCGTGCAGTGTTGGGCATGCTAGCTCCGTCTGCGCCGAGGGGCGCATGCAGCCCAAGCCAATGATGAAAGAGGAGTCTGAACTCGCACATGCAGGCTTTGCCAAGTTTGATTTGCATTGAGTGGCCGGGAAGAAACCTCATGCAGGCTGTGTACAGGCTGTGTAACGCAGCAACTAAATACGAGGGCTTTATTCTACTCCTCAAGTACCTTCCTTTTGTTTCAACTCTGCCTCATTTCATGAAAAGATTACCCGATTTTCGTATGATCATGTTCGGCTCGCTGAGGGCCAAAACTTCCATCTCCAAGTTGCCTTCGGGTGGCTTGGAAGAAGCCGAAGTTTGTACACGAATTTGGCCGGCAATGTTGCTCAGCATTTTCGATTCTGAGCACTATGTCAGGCTTTCGAGGCATGCAACAGATAACATAAGCGGAGCATGGCGAATAAATCCGCCGTCTTCGCCTGGTGTTGTGGAAATCGAGGAAATGAGAGCTATCATGACCTCTGTACGAGAGTCGGCAAATGGAACGATTGACGATATCACAAGGAACCTCGAGAATTTTGGGAACGATAATAATTGGAAGAGAGAAACAATATCAATCGCAGCCTCTTTGGTTACCATGATGAAAATTCGGCTTACGACGATGCCGCAGCCGGAACCGCCAATATTGTGGACAACAGGATCGTCCTTAATGAAAGTGGTCGCAGAAACTTTTCAGAGACAATCCCCGGAAGTAATCAATGGCGCAATTGACTACAGGTTTACATTGAGTAACCTGGCGGTTTACTACAACTGTAGCATTCTATGGACGGATCGACTGGATCGGCATCTGGAAATCGAACTCAATCGGCGAACAACGGTCATTATGGTATACCAACACAAGATATGGCTCTCGGCGCATTCAAGACAAGCAGAAAACTGTATAGTGCCACAAGAGATCATCTGTGAAGCTTTGGATACTCTCAATCTTCTCTTTCCACACAATGACCGCTGCACAGAATCCTTCCTCAGGAAGCAGAAACAAATATTCCACCACTTGGGCTACTGCGGTCGAGAGAGAAAACTTGAGTTGGAAAGTTATCCTTACTGGGGATGCAAGATCAAGAAGCTCATTGAGATTTCCGAAGGCAAGAGGAGCGGAATTTGGCAATTCGTTCCTGACTCTAAGGGATTCAATTTGATCGAGTCGGCCAACTTCTGGATCGCAACTGCTGCCGCTTTTCTCGCATTCGTAGGATTTGTACTCGGTCTCACGTCTATCGTTTACGCAAAGTGGTCATACGACGTCGGTGTCAAATCAATGGCTATTTCAGAAGAGTCGCTTGAATTGACAAGGCTTCAATATCAGCTGTCACTAGCCCAGGCCTGTTCAGATTCGAATGAAGCAAGGTTGTTGCCGGACTTTTGTTCGGCGGAGGAGTGAGGGTCGAGACAGGCACAACTTGGAGCATTGCGAATCTCTTGGGACACCGAAGGTCAGGCTTTCATTTGGCGGCGAGCACCTTTCACGCCGTGCAGGCTTCACAGAGCGGAGATTGGGGCATCGTTTGATTCTAGACGGATGGATCAAAGACAGAGGTACTCAGAGTACCACGAACGCCTCGAAAATGCATAACTTGTACCACGCAATTATGAATCTGAGAGACGTTGCGAGACACTCAGGTACCATATAGATGTGACGCAACGTGCCTCGGTCAAGGAATTCTCGTTACTTTGCGTTGTTAGGGTGTGGGTGATCTGTTGACATGTGATGGTACAGCCGAATGGCTGCCACCCATTTGGCCCCGAGCCTGTACATGAAACGGGAACGCAGACATAGGCATGAGCAGTGCCTAAATTTATATGGCCTAGCGATGGATATTTGAATGCCTGGTTTCGGCATGTACGCGATTGCGAATTTGGTGGTCTTACATGAATTAACAGGCGGCTCATTTTGCGTCACGTGAACTTCTTTTTTTCTTTTCACGCCCTGCTTTCCTTCTACTTATCTTCGCTCAAAGTTGTGGCCATGTCCAAGGTCATGGGCGGTGGGGAACTCGTCCGCGGATGCCAATGACCTTGACGCATTCCTCGATGTGAACATACCAATTCGCATCCGGTCTGTGTTTTATTCGTCTCCCAAGAATTCCAAGCCTCATATAACTCACTAGTAATTGCCTCAAGTCGCTAAGACTATAGCACATAGCTATGCGACTGCTCAATACACAAGTCCTCCCTCGTAGTACACCAGTTGACCTAAACTTGGAAGGCACTCTCACGGAACCTTTGATGACGATTATGTTCATTGAGAAGCTCACCCCAGCTTGAGAAATGTACACTCATTACAACCTTTCTATATCCCCTAATCGCTCAACCCCAACGCTTTCCCAAAGCATCGTAAATAGTCTGGTTAACAGGCAAAACACCACCATGCCTCAACCCACTAGGGAACCCAGTCCTCGAACTAGCAGTCCACCCCGAGTTACTCGCCACATTCGTCGTCTCATACGGCCTATACCCGTCATCGCCATAGAAATCAAGCAAAACATGCGCCTTGCCCGCAACCTGGTTATCCCAGTACGAAGCAGGGCCCTCAACACCGCTGGCGATGACAGCAGAGCTACCACCGGGACGGGTCCAGGTACCGAAGAGGCCGGTGGTGGAGACCTCGACGAACACGGTCTTGAGGGACTCGTCCTTGAGGAAGCGCACAAAGGACTTGCCGTCTGTGCCGGTGGGGAGGATGTTGAGGTCGATGATGTTGGTGGGGGACTTGTCGATGTAGGTCTGCGGGGTGGAGAAGGTCTTGAAGTCCGAAGTGTAGGCATAGCGGATCACGATGGCGCCGGGGCTGCCGGTGTGGTTCGGGTCCGAGGCGGGGTACTATTGACGCCGTTGGTCAGTTTTCACCAGTCTCAGAGAGAAGCATTGTCAAAGGCGATGATGGACTTACAAACTTGGAGGCCCAGTGCACGAGGTACTGGCCCTTGGCAGCATCCCAGATGGCCTCGGGAGCCCACACCATGCCGGCGCTGGAGTTCTCAACAACAACGAGTCTCTCGTTGCTCCAGTTGACGAGATCCGTGCTCTCCCAGGCAAAAATGCCCTTGGACCCCTGTCTCTGGGCCGCATCCCAAGTAGTCTGTGTAAGATCACGATCAGCGCCCGGCTTCCCCATCAGAGTCATGAGCAAAAACATACCTTTGCGATATCCAAGTCCGTACCGACAATATACCACTTCTTCCCCTTCTCCGCGCCACCGCCCACAACAATGGCAGGGTCGCGCACACCGCCCGTCCCCTTGGTCGGCCGAATCACAGGCGAACCAGAGTTGAGCGCACGGAACGAGGTCGGGTTGTTGCCGTTGGAGAGGTACAGGTATACGTAAGGGTCCGCGCCGAGGAAGAAGGCACCGAGGTAGCCCGTCAGACTCGGGTCGGCGCGAGGCGCGAGGGAGGTGCCGCTGAAGTCGAGAGACTGGATGGGCGAAGCCTGGACCGAGGTCGCGGCCAGGCTTGCGCCGAGAAGGAGGAGGGATTTGAGGGAGGGCATCGTTGTGCAAGGAAGGTGGAGAGAGTAAGGAGGATGCTGAGGCACACGAGAGGAGAGAAAGAACAGGTTCGCATTGAACTCGGGGACGTCGAGTCTTCTTATCATGATTCTTCGGGAGCTGTCAAACCCACATAGATTGACTGACACACCCCGCAATCTGGGGAAACGCAACGTCGCGTCTTGACCATCGTCATAGGTGTGGTGGAAATGGGCCCTGTCATTCTCATCTTGGACAAGCGTTGTGATGGCGGGGCGGGTATCGTCGCGCGACGATAGTAACGGCGAAGCTGTCGGCGAAGACACCCCGAGATGGAGATGCGCTACAGCTTAGTCTAGTCCAGTTACGAGATACGCGCCCGAACGAACTGCCCCCCGCCACGGCCGGCGCCGAGGTTAAATCAAGGTTTCTCTGGCTCGTAACTGGTGACTGCTCGGCCATCCCACACTGCCGTTGCAGTACCGCACTGTCACCACGGAACGTGCCAGGGGGGCGCTAGAGTTTTCCCGTCGCTGGAAGATCTGCTTCCAGTGTCGTTTTGAGGGCAACCCAAGGCGTGACGGGAGACGCAAGGCACCGGGGACTTCGGGGCCGGGTTGCGCGTGGGTTGCACCCACCGAATAGACGGTCACGAGGGTCATCACGAATAAGGTACGGATAGAGTGGACAGAATCAGACCATACTCGTACCTTATGGTTTTCCATCAGAAAGCTTGATAAGCTGGGCGAGCGACTCAAGTTGAACTCCATGTGCCCGAATCAGGGAAATTAAGTCACCGCTCATCCCATGTGTTTTCCGCCCCATCAATATTCTCGTGTCTCCAGTCGTCATCAACAGGCACATGGCAAAATACTGCCAGGCACGGCCAGACGTGGTTCCTCTGAAGTAAACGAACAGGGAAATGTCGACTAAAACAAAACCTTAGAAAGAGGGGCGGACCACACGACTCTCCCCAGAAAGAGGCAGAATTGGGGATGATCCAGGTGCTGGGAGATCTCAGATACGACGTCAGTTGGCGTGTGGGGTCAGGCGTAGTGCCGAGTCCTTTTTTCATTGGTGCGCATGTTTAGGTAGAACACCGGACCGAGGGGTAAACAAGAACTTGTCCATCAGTCAAGAAACGGCGTGCGCTTGTTGAAGTCAAGTGTGGATATAATAAACCTCGGGGTTACGAGGAATCCCAAGTACCTTGTTATCGAAGAAAGTTAGGTTACGAGGAATCCAATGGAAATATATACTCGGAAGATAGATGGCGCCAAAAAAAAGTATGTACACGTGAAAGCATGGTGGATAGAACTGGGAAATAAAGCGCGCCACGTGCGCTCCTCGACTTGGGATACCCTGCCTCGGAACCCCACTCAGAGACACTGTCAATCACGTTAGTATCATCGTCATCTCGTTCGAACGACGTGCTAGAGAGATTGGGGCAGGAGACATGAAGAAAAAGAAGGAATCCGTACCTGAGAGTAGTAGGCGTCCTTGACGGTGCACTTCAGCCCAGTAGCACACTGGAAGCTGCCATTCCATGTCGATCCCCCACACTGCCCGTACAGCGGCTGCGCTGTCGAGGTCGCGAGGGCAAGAATCTTGGCGGCGGCGTGTTCGGCCGAGACCACAATGTACGATGACGGGTTAGTGGTGACCATCCCGGGGAAGATGCTGGCATCAACGACGAAGAGGTTATCTGTGCCGTACACCTTGGTGTTGACGTCAACGACAGAATCGCCTTTGCTGCGACCGTCACTCGTCCCGAGTTTGTTCGTACCTTTTCCGAGATTGTCTGTCAGCGATCTCGATATGCAGACGGGTATGAGTTAGGGGAGAGTGTGGGGAGTCAACTTACCAATCCAGTGGTTTGCGCGACGGTTCGAGTACGAGACTAGCATATTGTTGACATAGTCTCTGACCGTCGTACCCGGCGGAGGGAAGTTCCAGACAAGGTTAGCCACGCTCTTGAGGGAGGTCTGCAGGTTCTCGAGGCCCTTGATGACGGCCTCGACATCGTTCTGATCGCGAAGGTAGGGTACGGTAGACACGACGGTGCCGAGGTTGGCCTGTATGGTCATTCTGCCGCGTGAAGTTGCGCCACGGCCGAGGTATTGGCTGATGGTGATGGTTTCTGTGAAAAGTGTTAATGTTCAGACGTCAACCAATGGTGGGCCTGGAAGGAATACTTACTGCCATCGGGGGCACCGAGACTGCCCTCCATGCGGGCCGTGTATTGCATCTGCCGAGTGATGCCATCGGCACCCTTGATCTCCTCGAAGAAACTAGGATGGCATTAGCGCAAAGGCAACGGATATCAGCGAGTGGCATGTTTTAACTTACAGAGGGCCAATGTTGGGCGCAGACTGGGCCAGAATGCCGCTTCTCTTCTGCAAATAGAGATTCTTGTCCGTGACGTTGGGGTCAGTGTACGCTTCGTAGAAGTCATAGAACTGCACGTCGGGATGCGTGACGACGGTATCGGTCTAGATCCAATTAGTTTCAGTCTTCATACCCTCCAAAGTTCTCAGTAGGACCCACGTTGGTGTGATCTTCCAGGTTGTATCCAACAGGCAGGTTGATCCAAGATGCATTGGAGATCATGGTAGGCCCGTCAGTGGAGCTCTTGACGATCTCGAGCTGATCTTGTGGGCCAATGCCGCTGCGAAGAAGAAGCTTGGCACTGCCAAAGGTTCCTGCGGAAAGAATCACTCGGCCCGAGATGTTAGTCACGTTGACCGTTCCGGTGTATCCACCGTCCAAGTACGGCTCGACTTCGATGCCGGTGATGTGCCCACCAGTCCGGACAACACGTTTGACGGCCGTCTTGGTCCACAGCTTGAAGTTGCTGCGCTTGCTTGCTGTGAGAAGGTACGTCGCCATGGGGCCACCGCGTTCTCCGCCAGAGTACATGTACGGCGTCTTGCCGAAAGTGCGGTTCTTGGAGTTTGGGTTCGCATTAAGGTCAAGTTCCGACCATCCGGCGGTGCGAAGTCCGCCGGCAATAGCATTGAAGCCATTCGTCAGGTAGACCTTGCCGTCTTGAGATGGTGTCGTGGTGCCTGGGATGCGAGAGAAGACCCGGCTTGTGGCGGCAGCGACATCGGTTGACTTCCATCCGGCCGGGAAGTTGTAGTCCCAGTCTTGGGCATATGGCTTAAAAATTATTAGCATTATCATCAATTTCGTCGGCCGAGAGACAACATACCTTCCACCAAAGAGCGGCGTTGATGGCGGTGCCTCCACCCAGAACACAACCCGCCATCTGGTCAGTATCCTGGCAGGCAATGCCAGCAGAGTCGCGCCAGATCTGGTTGCAAAGACCGGGGACATCGAACCTGGTCAGGTTGGTACCCTCTAACCAGGTCGGCTTCATGGTACCACCCCATCTGCCAGAAGATGGCGGCCCCTTCTCGATCAATAAGACGCTCTTGCCAGCCTCACTCAGCTTGTCGGCCAAGGGAATGCCACCAGCTCCTGCTCCAATGACAATGTAGTCGTACGTGCCAGAGGGAACGGGAACACCGGTAGGTCCAGTGGGTGCCTTCGTAGTGGTGGTAGAGGGTGGCGCCGAAGTTGTAGTGGCGCCACCACAGCTTCCCGTGACAGTCTTGGTCGCCAAAGCGGCCCATGCAGAGTACGAGGGGTTCGCAGCGTTGGCATCGAGAGCGGCGCCATGGATGCCTTGGTTGTCATGCTGAACCAGGTTGACAGAAGCAGGACACGTGGGGTTGGTCGGGCTGGTGAATGCCTGCGCCCATCCTAGAACGAGAGAGCCCGCACTCGTCGAGACACTGCCAGTGGCACCGTTATGGTTCCAATTGAAGCAGTTCTGGCACCGGTAGATGAGGGTGTAGTGTGTCGCGTTGATAGTGGACGAGATCTGTGTGAGCTTGGCGTCGCCTGCATAGACGTCTGGCATCACATAGCCCGTTGCCCAGCGGAACGATGTCAAGATATCAGAGCCACTGGGCCATGCCATGAGAAGTAGCTTGTTGGTCATCGATCCGCCAAGGGAGATACCGCACCAGCCAGTGCCCTGGCCGTTCTTGGAAGCGCATTGCTAGACGAACACCGTCAGTCAGTGAGGTAGGCGACGGGCTGAGAAGACCTACGAGATAGCCAACGAATTCGTTGGCGTCTGTCGTCAACGCATTTTGAGGCAGAGCGAAACCGTATGTCATGCCCCCGGCCGTTTGAGCGCTCGTTGCGGACCAAGTGTCGAAGATAATGCCGGTTTTGGAGTCGGTCAAGACAACCGGTGTGGGGGATTGGGCGGCAGCTCCATCGAGGACTTGAACAGCATGTTAGCAAGTAAATCATCCTTGATGCTGTGAAAACCCTACGAGATGTTGTGGCCAGGAGTGCTGCCAGAGCACCAGAACGACTGAAGAACTTCATGGTACCGGACGTCGAGGTCAACACAGGTCTAGCAACCAAAATTTCGGATCCTATCTTCGCCTTCTAAGAGGGCAAGAGACGATTTAAAGGAACAGTGACATTTGCCAAGGCCCAAAACCTCCTTGGATGCTGTCTGTCTTGCCGCCAACCCGGGACTTACTACTTTCTTCTTTCAGATATCAAACCCTGGAGTTGGCAGCTTCTGCCACATGACCACAGGCTCCCAGCATACGGCTCGACCAGTGATATCTCCCGTGATTGTGGATGGATGCATGGTTTGCAACTGCACCGATAGGAGGAAATGTATGTTTACGGGGTTCATCATAGTATGGGGGAGAGCGGCACATGTCATCGAAAGTGGTGGGGTTGGGCCTCTTTCCAACGGAATGTAACAGTGCTGGATTGCCTTTGTTGGTCAAGCCTCATGACCGGGGTTGATCCAAGCACCTCAATCTACCAGAGGCAGCGGGAGAAACTAGCAATCAGATGAAGGGGCAAGGAACGGGATGAAGCGGTGGACGCGGGGGACTCGGGTGTTTGCACATGAGACGAACCAGCACGCAAGAAAGAAGAAACAAAGGCTGGGAAAGAAGATCAAGAAGAAGAAAGCAACGATGAAGCCTCAGCTTATGCTTGACGTATCTGAAAGTCATGATATTTGACAGGAACACCGCGAGTCTGGGTACATCAAGATGCAATGTCCTGGACAGTGAAGTGAGGTCGAAACAGGCGTGCAGGGCATTGCCAGGAACGGAATGCGGAGGCAACAAGGCGCAGCCCCACGTTGCGGTGCGGCATTTCGATCCGGGCTTCCCAAATCGACGGGGGTCTAGCCGGGGTCGAGGGGCGTCAGCTGGGACTTCTTGGCTTCTTGTCAGGAGAGAGGATCACCAGGATGCAACCCTCGAGGGCACTGCAGACTTGGGCTTCTTGCTGTCGATGCGTCTTTGAAAAGCCCCTGTATCCGTACCGAGACAACGCCACTGGCTTTGCCACGAGATTGCGGGGGGCAAAGGCGAGCAGCAAATGCATCTGTCAGTTTGTCGATATCCCAGGCGTTTGGTGCGGCGGCGCGCAGTGTCTTGCTTTTGGGTTCTTGGGTGAAACGAGTCCAGGCCAGGCGACTCCCTCAATGCGGTGCGAGGTATTCGTAAGAATTATTCAGCCAAGGTGTGATGACACGGATTCGTGCATTTTCGTCACTCTGATCCGTTGATGGATTCGTACGTATTCATCAACAAGCAAATGCATCCGGCTAATTTGACGGGTTGCCTGCCGTGTATTGTTGTGTTCCATTTCGGTACGCGGCGATGCGACAGCGCGGTACTGACTCAACCGAAGCCAAGGGCGACGACGAACTGGCGACAACGCCGATTGGAAGAACCAAATAACGCAACGAGAAGGGGCGGTGGAAATGGGAGGTCACATAGGCCCAATTCGAGTCGTGGAGGGCCCGTAATATATGACTTTTAGGTGCCTGCGACCCGCAACAAGAATGCGGGATTGAGCTCCGAGTCCGTAAACGTCAGGTCGACGAGGGTCTTTTGTTCGGTCACCGGTCCAGCCAGATGGAGGTTCTTGTAGGATCATGAGTGTGCGGCAATCTTGTGGTTCATCTTGTCCGAATGAGATGGATGCGACGCGATGCAGGCTGCGTGTTGATAAGCTGATGATCGGTCATCAGATCCCGAACCGGATCCCTCGACGTTGACATTCTGGCGTGGAAAAGACATCGCCATTGTCTTTGCGTGATGTTGGAATATGGAAATCAACGGGAAAAACACAAGTTGTGTTGGGGTGATGTGGAGGATTCGTACACCGTGCAGAAAGCAAGAGGTAAACTTTGAGCGACAACTTCTGGACAGGGGAAGTCGCTTAAAGATGGGGAGTGTGACGCGAACATAAGTTTGTCGTTTGTACACAGTGCGTGCTTGGTAACTCCAACTCAGGAAAGTTCGTCCGAAAGGGAAGGGAGGAACGAAAAGGAACGAAGACTAAAAAGCAACGTCGTTTTTTCAGCCCAAAACACCAAAACTTTTTTCACCAGTGCAAAACAGGACTGTAGTTGCGACAAGAAGCAAAAGATGATCAGTGGGAGGCTTGAACTCCCGGCCTTGGCATTACACAACATTTCAGGTGAAATATTAGTACCACGCTCTAACCAACTGAGCTAACCGACCACATGGAGTGCCGTGATTGGCTGATGATCAGAGAGGTGGGACAGCCGTCCATGAAGGTCCAATCTGGACCGCCTAAGGTAATCTTCTGCTTGAGTCTGAAGATCACTATCGTGACAAGAGGGATGGCAAGATATCGGGTGTTTCTGTATGAGTCAATTTCATTGTGCGATCTATTCTACACATTTAACATGCAAAAGTATAACAGCTGCCCCTCTCCGAACCTCTGGTATTTTTTTGGCGTACGAAAACAAGAACCTCTGCTCTATCATAGCCACCCAAACGCCTACTACATATGCCGCAATGCCCGCTATGCAAGTTTTAACAAATGATGCAGATCTAGACAAAAGATGAACAAAACATGATGTGACGAATAAAGAATACAGGAAAAGCATAGAAGATAACAATCGCGGCCCATGCTCCATCCCCGGTCTATGAATCGAAGATGGCGCCGTATGCGGGAATACCCCTGCTCTCAAGTCCATACACAACCTTCCTCGTCACCTTTTGGTTCGAAATAATGACAACGGCTTCGCAGGGTCCCATCTTTTTCTTGTTCATCTTTGTCGTGGGAACACCCTCATTCTGCGCAAGACCAAGAGCCTGGCGACGACTATTCTCCCAGATGCGATACGTGATCGCAACCAAGTCAGGCCGGCCCGTCTTCTTGGTATCGATGATGACGGCGTCCGGGTCGGCGCGGTAGAGCGCATCGATGACGGCCTGACCATATGTCTCGGCCGGCCGCTGTGTCGACCAGATGATGCGCACGGGGTGATCTGGCCTCTGCACGAAGAGACTCAGGCACGGTCCGATTCCCGAACCCGTAGCGATGACGATGCACGGCTCAAAGAGACCGGCCACGCGCAGAACGCCGTACTGCGGAACGCCACGGGTCCAGATCTTTTTTGGCGGATTCTTGATGATCTTGTTGGTCCAGTCGCCCGCATTCGAGACGAGAACGGAGAAACCCTTCTTGCCAGCGTTGGATAGGCCACCTGTTGACTGGCCCTTCTCGACGTCGGTGGATGGGGCGGCGGGGTTTGGGATCACGGCGAAAGCGTGGGTCTCGCGGAGGGGCGCGTCGGTGAGGCGGACGGCTTGGCCGTAGTGAACGTCTGCGTAGTTGAAGTTGAGCTTGACAACGTGGTTTGACATTGCCTCGGCTTCGACATCGCGCAGGCGGAGACGGGTCCAGGGGTACGCGACCAGGAGGGTGATGACGATGAGCATCCAGAATGACGGCGTCAGGATGAGAGATACGGCGTAAGGGGTACCGGCCGTGGTGCTGTCGTCCGCGGCGAGCATCAGGACAAGGGCCCAGAAGAATACGATGACGGACCAGCCCAAGAAGCGATGGGTCCCCTCGAACCAATTGTGAAGAAGGACACGGGCCCTGGGGTGTGCGAAGCCAATGATGGCAGCGAGAAGGGCGCAGATGAGGTAGCTGTCGAGGAGGATGTAGGCTCGCACGGCGTTTGATGGGTTCTTGAGCTGGGCCGTGAGGACGACGAGGAACGCAATGAACCAGAAGAAGGAGGCCACACCGCAGCCGCTGTGGATGCCGCCGTATGAGTAGATTTTGGCAAAGGTGCGGCGGATGCGGAGGGGTGCCTTCGCAGATGGGAAGAGGACGAAGAGTTTGAAGAGAGCGTTGACCGTGTGCTCGTTGCGGATGAAGAGGGCGACGAGGATGTTTGCTGAGACGGCTGTGGCGCAAGTTTGGGGCGTGAGCGGGATGCCTCCAATGAGGGAGCGGATGATGACGAAGATGAGAGCGGCGATGTTTCCAAAGAACGCGAGACTGAAGATGCGTCTGTAGACGGAGCCGAAGTTCCAGCGCAGGTATCGGTAAGGACGGTTGCCCTTCTTTGAGGGAACGGGAATCTCGTCTTCTTCGTCGTCAGTGTCATCGACTGAGCTACTTGATGCAGGAGGAGTCGGGGGTTGAGAAGGAGCGCCATCAGGGACTACGAGAGTATGCGTTGATGAGTTGCTGCTCGGCGGAAAGAAGACTTTAGTCGGCGGCGTCAAGTTAAGCTCGGAACTGTTCTCGTCGCCGGGCTTGATTTGAATGTCGTGGTGAACATCATCTACAACGGGCACTGGTAGTGTGACTGAAGAAGATGTTGTGAAAGACATGGCTGATACAGGTTAAAGACAAGTAACTAACATTACTATCAGTGCCGTCCACCACCAACCTCGAAAGCTCATCAAATGTGACTTACGAAAGAGAATGAAAGAGTGGCTCTTCTACGTGGGTAGCAGATCCAAGTATATGAAATGCTACGACTGAGAGAGTGGCCAGTACGAGATAGATGGCCCAAAGAAGGAACTCTTGCACAGAGATGGAGGCCCGTGTGGAATAAGGAATGGGGAGATCGAAAAAGAAAAGAGGGTGCGCAAGATGATCAGAAAGCACCACTAGATGATGAGGTTTGATACTTGAATGACTGAAAGGAGACAACATCACGACTTGAGGGGGATTCGATGGTCTGATAAATACTCCCTTCGTGATCCTCAGGGAATGTCTCTATCAACCCTTCACATGCCTTGGATCCTTGATCCCACGTGTGCCATGATGGGGCGCATTCGACTACAATCGCATCCGAAATAGAGCCCCTCCAGCGCTGGGGTCTAGCCTCCCTCAAGGTGCCCAATTTGGATCATCGACGGTGGTATACAATGACGGTCGTCTCCGGGCCAGTCACGTGGGGTAGGATGGAAGGATTGAAGAGAATGCGGGCGGCGGCACGGTCAGCGGCATGGTTGCGTCCAGGGCCGATGTTCCCACGAGAGTGGATGCGGCCAAGCCGGGTGGCCGGGTCTCAAAATAGATGTGTTGATGGGAAAGTCAGATGTGGAAGTCCGCAGAGTACTTGGATTGGCTGCGCAGACATTGGTGACTGCCACATCTTCTCTTTTGCTCAGCGACGGCTCTGCCCTTGGCAGCGTGGCGCATCGAAGGGGATATCCTTAGTAACTAGTTGCATCATAGATGCAAGGCGTGGTCGAGCCCTAGTACCACGAGAAGCAAGACTTGACTGTTGAAAGATGTGAGGCTTGCAGCTAGCGCAGCCTCACATAGTTCACACAGGTCCCTTCACGGCGGCTTGGTCCGAGATATCGGACACTTGTCAGATTGTTAGATGGATATCATGCCACAGGCATCTGCCTGGAATTGGAAGTACAGGATGATGAAGAATGGAAGAGATGAGCAATCAGTTCGGAGAGTAGAAAACGGTTTGCTGTGCGCGCAGTAGAAGGAAAGGGCTGGAGACTTCTCCCCCATCTGGCCATTGTCCACCTTCCACACGTCCTAAATGGGCGAGAATCCATCATATCTCGAGTTTTCCAGGGCCCTCGACACGAAAAGGAGGTCCAACTGAGCTGAGGTGGATGCTTCGATGGAATGCCAACTGAAGACCCAAGACAACGTTTGTCGGGTTTTGGACTTCCGGGGACACTCACTCGACCGTTTGTTTTCGTGAGCTCAAAGGTGAACACACCGAGGCCGTCGAAACAGGCTCAATGGCCGAGAGTCAGCCTGTCAAAAGTGGATGCGTGTCTCGCCCCAAAGTTGTCACCACGGGAGCTAAGCTTGACTTGCACTTACTCGACCGAGTCGAGGAATGGGAGATGTCGTCCCTGACTCCGATCATCTCCCGCCCTTGGCTACCGTGGATGCGTGGGTGCGTACGTGAGCGAAGACGTACGAACCATGGGCTTGGCCCCATCTCACCACTCCTTCTCTCGCACGGCAGACGCCGAGATACACAGTCATGTCCAGGAAACTGATCCCGGCCGCTTAGGGATCCGCGCTAGTTCCCTTCTCGAAGTTGTGGCTGGGAGAACTGGCATGGAGAAGTCAATGGGCGGTAGGTGGCATATCTCTCCGATGATGAGTGGGCTGGCTTGGTTCGCGGCGCCTTTTTCTTGGATGAGTGGATGTGGCACGTAGAACGCCAGGCCGCTGGGAAATCTTCAACGTCGCATAGCAAGTCGCATGTGGATGGACGCTGAAGAGCTGCACCGATAATCGACTCGTTGGCTCCGGTGGCAAGGCGAACTAGTGGCATCCTGTCGCTCGGATTCCAGCTGATGGCCAAGGTGAACCAGTGTCTCACTGGGAAGAGAAAAAGCAAAGATAGAACCACCTAAATCAAGGAAAATGCGATGGACGGAGCGAACGAAAAGTTGACGGGGAAGGGAGGCCAGAGGAGGGCGTAGAGACTTGACTCCTTTTTCGGAAAAGCGTCTCTCTCCATGCGGCGCTTGAAGGCTCCGCCAGACAGAGGCCTAGCTACGTGACATTGGCTGCATTGTTGGCGGAACCCTAAAGTGCTTTGTTCGGTGGCATGGTGACAGGCGCTGGCGCGTGTCATTTGGAGGAGCCGCCGACTGATTTGACGCGACACCAAAAGGTAGTCATGCTGACGGGCAGGTATTTTGAGAACAGCGCGGCTGTCGGCACTCGCATCGGGAAATATGACTACTGCCTAGGTGAGTAGATCGTAGATGGATGACTTACGTCGCGTCTACCGGGCCCAAGACCCCAGGGCCGCAAGGGGTAGCCGAATCTGCACGTCCGAGGCGTGAACCAGCCACTTGGCGATGGAGCAAGGGAGGGAGGCAACAGAACGCCTCATTTTCCGCCTGTCGCCTGGCGAGGAGGAACATATCGGCGGCATTATCGAACGTCGCTTATCGTCATTGACCGATACCGTCTTGCCCTACAGCGTAGTCAAGTGCGACACGACCCGGATCAGCGTTCGTGACCTGGACCCAGGCGTGAATGCCCCGGGGAAGTTGAGTAATGGGTGCCGGCTGGGATGACTGCGGTGACTTGGCTGAGTCAATGGCCAACAACCGAGAATTCCTCGCGGAGCCCCCTCCGGACGATCAGCGCTGATCAATCATTGATCAGAGGCCAGTCGGGCATCTTTCTTGGGCCGCAAATCCCCACCTGGTTGCTGGGTTCGACGGGTGCCCTTGTCGAGTCTTGGAAATGCTGCCGTTTCCGAGGCGCTTCTCATTCGGCTTTTTTTTCTTGTTCAAAGTGGTGATACCAGATGGTTCGATCGGTGCCAGGATGAAAAGACAAGGATGGTGAGATGATGCGCAGATGTGAGCATGGGAGGGGGCCCAGAGGTCGGGAGGTGGTACGTACCGCACCACGCGGGAAAATTAGCCCCCGATGTGCCGCTGCTATTTCGGGTAAAATCTTCACCGCGTCAAAGACCTATCGGAACCCCATTGGACCAGCGCACGAGAGTCGTACCTGACGGCGTCTCTCCTCTCACCACTCAAAATCCTTCCCGCGCTTTTTTTTTCTTTTTTGGACGAGATTCTCAATCTTGAGCCAACCGCCTTCTCAGATCTGATCGTTGGGGTTGAACAAAATGCCATGTAACCCCAAAACTTTCTCCAAATAGTCGTCAGCAATGAGCGTCCACTACACATTAGCTCAGTAAGCCGCGATGCTACGCCTTAATGCTTGTGCCGCCCCCTTGCCTTTACTGCTGACATGATCATTCAATTTGAGGGTTCAATTCTTGAAGAACCAACGTAGCCTGGTGTTGCAGAACGTAAGCCAACACAAGGCTATGATAGCCTTCTCGAAGGATTTAGGCTTTTCGGTCCTTGATTCCTTTTAGACCTCCGCCGTGTGATGGCTTCACTCCTATTCGACCATGCCCGAAGCCTTGCTGAAGATATCCCAAAAGACTCTTTCGTTTCTAGTCCGCGTAAACTGCAAGATGACATGTCAGGTAGTCTGTACTATTTCTGTATTTCAACTGCCACTGTAGCCTACCCCTCCTATCTATCCCTCTTTGTCATTATATCGTGACTAATCATTCAACGTCATTAATATTACCCAAGTCGGCTGAATGCCAACATCTAGATGCTATCCGTGTCATAGTAGGGGTCATCCGGCAAGTAGGGGAACTTGCGAACAACCACATCGCCTTTGTAAGTCCACAGATCAGCCTGCGTAGGCTCGTAGTCGAGCGCACATGTGTCCGTCTCAGCGTTGAAGGTGAGGACGTCTGTCGTGGTGCCGTTGGAGTAATTGATGCGGACCATGTTGACCGTCTCCACGTTCGGGCCAATGTCGAAGTAGTTTGCAGGCATCTGTAACAGGGTGAATATGCGCTCATAATCTCACTTGCTGAAGTTGGCTGGACTTACGAATTGAATTCCGGAGTGAGCCGTAGTGAAGACGGTAGTGGGAAGGTCACCCTGTTAATTGAGTCAGTGCCCGTCTGATGTGGGCGGCTAAAGACATGATGACTCACAGTATGAGGGACGTGATGCATGCCCAGGTTGAGCCACATCACGAGGTCAGTCTGGTTGAGGCTCTCGCCGTCAAAGAACGCATCAAAGTTGATCGGCGGGTTCTCAGTGTCTTGATTGTTGTATGGGTGACTGCTGCGGGGCTCCGTGTCCTTGCGCTTCGACACCATGATGTCGTTAACTGCCCACTTAGCGGAGTTCTTGAGAATATTCGAGTCCTTGACAGTCAGATGCGCGGCGCCGGTGTACGGCAGGATGCGATAGGCGCGGTACTCGCCGTGCTTGTTTTTGACGTCCTGGTTAAGCACAAAGAGTTGGTCCTGGTTGTTGTAGCTCCAATCAAAGCGGCCCTGGTCCTCGTTCTCGATGAACTCGCGCTCCACCTTCATGGTGTTGAACGCCTTGCCCTTGGACCAGGGGTAGACTTGCGTCGTGGGGACCTGGTGCATGCGCTGGACCGTGTTTTCGGTGCCAAAGATGTCAAAGTCAGCCTTGAAGTTGACCACGTGGTCGTGCATGCTGCCAGACAGCTGATCGTGGATTTTGAAGCCGTAGCCGTCGTTCTTGGCGTAGAATGCGGCTTGGATGTAGCCGGAGGCACGGACTTCTACCGCGACGCTGCCGTCGAGGAAAAAGCTGTAGCTGAACATGTAGTCATAATTGCCAACCGTTGAGACGGAACGAATGGTGAAGTAGACATTCTTGGTGGCTGTGACGTAGTCCTGAGACGAGTGACGAGCCATGGGGTAGTCGGCGTCGAACTCAAACAAGCAGATGCTGTTCAGGTGCGTGTGCGTTGACTCGGAAACGTAGAAAGATGAGTTGAGATAGGTGGCATATGAGGG